AGAATGTAGAATGAGCGACACGCGTTGTGATTGTGTGTGGCTACTATGAATGTCCACGCGACGATAAGCCCACTTCGTTGAGCTATCACTTGCGGCCAGGTCGCTGGCCACAAGTGATGGCTTACGCCGACCCGTGAACTTACATTGCGACCAATGGCAGTGTCCGTATATCCGTCTGCCTCTGTGACTGCCGTGGTGCTGGCCACCATACCCACCTCTGATGCCGTACCGGCCTTCGTAGGTGTCGCTCGCGTTCAGCGCTTGCCCCGACCGTCTGTGAAGGCATCACGGGGGCTCGCGGTCCGTTCGTCTGTCCGCTCATCCGCCCCCGTCCGCTTATCCGTCCGCCCGTCTCTCGGTTGCAGCTGCGGAATCTTTGGCCTTCATCGTGATTGAAAGATACAGCGACAGAAGAAGAAGAAGACGCGACCCGACCACGTGATCTAAAAACACGGAGAAGACGAGAGGCAACAAATCGCTCGCTCCTCCATCGCCACCGCCGGCGTGATCATCCCCGTGGAACTTTAAGGCGTCGATTGCCCCACGCGTGTTGAGGAGTCGGGCAGCCAGACACTGACCGGGTCGTCTCTGCGTGTTCAACCGGCACCACACTGCGGGTCAATACTATTCAGTCACTCATACACACACACTCACCCACTCACCCACACACACACTCACTCACCCACCCACTCACTCACCCACTCACTCACACATTCAACCACCCACCCACTCACCCATCCACTCACTCACCCACTCACCCACCCACTCACTCACACATTCACCCACCCATCCACTCACCCATCCACTCACTCACCCACTCACCCACTCACTCACTCACCCACCCACCTACTCACACACTCACTCACCCACCCACCCACTCACTCACACACTCATTCACCCACCCACCCACTCACCCACCCACCCATCCACTCACTCACCCACCCACCCACCCACTCACTCACACACTCGCCCACCCATTCACCCACTCACCCATCCACTCACCCACTCACTCACCCACCCACTCACTCACACATTCACCCACCCACCCACCCACTCACCCACTCACCCATCCACTCACTCACCCACTCACCAACCCACTCACTCACCTACCCACCCACTCACTCACACACTCACTCACCCACCCACTCACTCACTCACCCATTGACACACTCACCCACTCACTCACACACTCACTCACTCACCCACCCACTCACTCACTCACACACTCACTCACCCATTCACCCACTCACCCACCCACTCACTCACTCAACCACGCACTCACTCACTCACACACTCACTCACTCACCCACCCACTCACTCACTCACACACTCACGCACTCACACACTCACCCACCCACCCACTCACACACTTACTCACTCACCCACTCACCCACCCACCCACTCACTCACCCACCCACCCACCCACTCACACACTCACCCACCCACTCACCCATCCACTCACTCACTCACTCACCCACCAACTCACTCACACACTCACCCACCCACTCACCTACTCACCCATCCACTCACTCACCCACTCACCCACCCACCCACTCACTCACACACTCACCCACCCACTCACCCATCCACTCACTCACCCACTCACACATTCACCCAGCCACCCACTCACTCACTCACCTACCCACCCACTCACACACTCACTCACTCACCCACCCACTCACTCACACATTCACTCACCCATTCACCCACCCACCCACTCACACACCAACCCACCCACTCACCCACCCACTCACTCACTCACACATTCACCCACCCACCCACCCACTCACCCACCCACTCACTCACTCACTCACCCACCCACCTACTCACACACTCACTCACCCACCCACTCACTCACACACTCATTCACCCACCCACCCACCCACTCACCCACCCACCCATCCACTCACTCACCCACCCACTCACTCACTCACACACTCACCCACCCACTCACCCACTCACCCATCCACTCACCCACTCACCCACCCACTCACTCACACATTCACCCACCCACCCACCCACTCACCCACTCACCCATCCACTCACTCACCCACTCACCAACCCACTCACTCACCCACCCACCCACTCACACACTCACTCACCCACCCACTCACTCACTCACTCACCCATTGACACACTCACCCACTCACTCACTCACACACTCACTCACTCACCCACCCACTCACTCACTCACACACTCACTCACCCATTCACCCACTCACCCACTCACTCACTCACCCACGCACTCACACACTCACCCATTCACTCACCCACCCACCCACTCACACACTCACCCACCCACCGACTCACTCACACACTCACTCACTCACCCACTCACTCACCCACTCACTCACTCACTCACCCACTCACTCACTCGCCCACTCACCCACTCACTCACCCACTCACCCACCCACTCACTCACTCACTCACCCATTGACACACTCACCCACTCACTCACTCACACACTCACTCACTCACCCACTCACTCACTCACACACTCACTCACCCATTCACCCACTCACCCACTCACTCACTCACCCACGCACTCACACACTCACTCACCCATTCACTCACCCACCCACCCACCCACTCACACAATCACCCACCCACCGACTCACTCACACACTCAATCACTCACCCACTCACTCACTCACTCACCGACTCACCCACCCACCCACTCACTCACTCACCCACCCACTCACTCACTCACACACTCACCCACCCACCCACTCACACACTTACTCACTCACCCACTCACCCACCCACCCACTCACTCACCCACCCACCCACCCACTCACACACTCACCCACCCACTCACCCATCCACTCACTCACTCACTCACCCACCAACTCACTCACACACTCACCCACCCACTCACCTACTCACCCATCCACTCACTCACCCACTCACCCACCCATCCACTCACTCACACACTCACCCACCCACTCACCAATCCACTCACTCACCCACTCACTCACCCACCAACTCACTCACACATTCACCCAGCCACCCACTCACTCACTCACCTACCCACCCACTCACACACTCACTCACTCACCCACCCACTCACTCACACTTTCACTCACCCATTCACCCACCCACCCACTCACACACCCACCCACCCACTCACACACTCACCACCCACCCACCCACCCACTCACTCACCCACCCACCCACTTACTCACCCACCCACTCACCCATCCACTCACTCACCCACTCACTCACCCACCAACTCACTCACACACTCACCCACCCACTCACCTACTCACCCATCTACTCACTCACCCACTCACCCACCACTCACCCATCCACTCACTCACCCACTCATTCAGCGACTCACTCACTCACACACTCACCCACCCACTCACTCACCCACTCACTCACACACTCACTCACTCACCCACTCACTCACACACTCACTCACACACTCACTCACTCACTCACCCACCCACTCACTCACCCACCCACTCACACACTCACCCACCCACTCACTCACTCAGTCACTCACACACTCACCCATTCACCCACCCACCCACCCACTCACTCACCCACCCACCCACTCACACACTCACCCACCCACTCACTCACACACTCACCCATTCACCCACCCACTCACTCACACACTCACCCACCCACCCACCCACCCACTCACCCAATCACCCATCCACTCACTCACCCACTCACCCACCGACTCACTCACACACTCACTCACTCACCCACTCACTCACTCACTCACCGACTCACCCACCCACCCACTCACTCACTCACCCACCCACTCACACACTCACTCACTCACACTCTCACCCACCCACCCACTCACACACTTACTCACTCACCCACTCACCCACCCACCCACTCACTCACCCACCCACCCACTCACACACTCACCCACCCACTCACCCATCCACTCACTCACTCACTCACCCACCAACTCACTCACACACTCACCCACCCACTCACCTACTCACCCATCCACTCACTCACCCACTCACCCACCCATCCACTCACTCACACACTCACCCACCCACTCACCCATCCACTCACTCACCCACTCACTCACCCACCAACTCACTCACACATTCACCCAGCCACCCACTCACTCACTCACTCACCCACCAACTCACTCACACATTCACCCAGCCACCCACTCACTCACTCACCTACCCACCCACTCACACACTCACTCACTCACCCACCCACTCACTCACCCACCCACTCACTCACACTTTCACTCACCCATTCACCCACCCACCCACTCACAAACCCACCCACCCACTCACACACTCACCACCCACCCACCCACCCACTCACTCACCCACCCACCCACTTACTCACCCACCCACTCACCCATCCACTCACTCACCCACTCACTCACCCACCAACTCACTCACACACTCACCCACCCACTCACCTACTCACCCATCTACTCACTCACCCACTCACCCACCACTCACCCATCCACTCACTCACCCACTCACTCAGCGACTCACTCACTCACACACTCACCCACCCACCCACTCACTCACCCACTCACTCACACACTCACTCACTCACCCCCTCACTCACACACTCACTCACTCACCCACCCACTCACTCACCCACCCACTCACACACTCACCCACCCACTCACTCACTCAGTCACTCACACACTCACCCATTCACCCACCCACCCACCCACTCACTCACCCACCCACCCACCCACCCACTCACACACTCACCCACCCACTCACTCACACACTCACCCACCCACCCACCCACTCACCCAATCACCCATCCACTCACTCACACACTCACCCATCCACTCACTCGGTTACTCACTCACACACCCATGCACTCACTCATCCACCCACTAACTCACACACTCACCCACCCACTCACTTGGTTACTCACTCACACACTCACCCACTCACCAACTCACACGGCTACTCACTCAGCCACTCACCCACCCAACCGCTCACTCGCCAACCCACCCGTCCACTCACCACCACCGCAGGCCACGAACGCATCACCGTCGCGGAATTTGCCGTCTCGTTTCCCCGGCTCCCTCGGAAGCTCGCTCGCGTCAAGGAGACGTGACCTCCCGGTCCACTGACGACCTCAGCCGTCGTGCCATCCGTTGCCGGCCGCGTGGAGTCTCGGGCCACCTCTGCCCCTGAACCGCGCCCGGCCACGCCGGTCGCCTCCCTCTCTCCGCACCCGACGCGAAATGACGCCCGACCTCAACGTGTCCCGCGCCCACGACCTCTGCGCGCTCCGATTCCGGGGCTTCAACTGCACCGAGGTCGTGTACCGTCCCGCGGCCCGCGCCGCCCTCCTCTCCGCCCTCCTCGTCTTCGTCGCGGTCAACCTCATCGGCAACGCGGCGGTCATCGCCTCCGTCCTCTACTTCAGGCAGCTGCAGACGCGCGCCAACGCCCTCGCCCTGTCGCTCGCCTGCACCGACATCCTCGTTGGCGCCGTCGTGATGCCCCTGAGCGCCGTGCGCGAGGCCTACACCTGCTGGTTCTACGGCCACGCGGCGTGCCGCCTCCACACGTGGCTCGACTACTCGCTCACCACCTCGTCGGTCGCCCACCTCGCCTGCGTCGCCGCCGACCGCTCGGTGGCCATCGGCGACCCGCTGCGCTACCGCGAGCGCGTCACGCCCGCCGCGGTCGCCCTCATGGTGGGCCTCTGCTGGCTCAGCCTGGCCGGCTACGCGGTGCCCATCCTCGCCTTCTGGCCCACGGTCATGGTGCCCGAGCCCTGCCCCGACAACTGCAACGTGGAGGTGAACGTGGAGTACGCGATGGCGAACACGGTGTGCGCCTACGCGCTGCCCCTGTCCGTCATGGTGGCGGTGTACGCGCGCATCTACGCGCAGGCGCGCGCCCAGTCGCGGAAGATCAAAGCCCTCGCGATGCCGGTGGCGGTGGCGGCGTCCGGGGACCGGCCCGAGGCGCCGTCGTGGAAGGCGATGAGGCGGGAGCACAACGCGACGCTCACCCTGGGCACCCTGGGGGGAGTCTTCGTTCTCTGCTGGGTGCCATACTTCATCGCCTCGTCCGCCGAGTCGTTCCTGGGCACGGACGCGGCCATCCTGCTCGTGGACGTCGCCAACTGGTTCACCTACGTGAACTCGACCATCAACCCGGTGCTCATCATGTTGCTGAACCGCTCCTTCCGCGGCGCGCTGAAGGCGACGCTCAGCGGCAGGGTGTTCACGCGCAAGTGCCGGGAGAGCGATTTGCTCGATTGGCCTTAGGCGAGTGAAAGAGGTTTACAACAAACAAACAAAAAAGCATTCAAGACAAGCCACGGCCGGTGCGATTGTGGGCCACGCGCAAGCAAAAGCTATGGGACCGCGTCGTAAAACGCACTGTGCGTCGGTCTGAGCGCCTTCAACGGAGGAGGAGCAAATCAACACAAATTCTTCCCTATCTCTCTCTGTACTGAAGCCCTCTTTGTCGTGGGCAGCAGCAGCAGCAGCAGCAGGCCCCGATATTTGATTTTTTTTTTCCCCATTGAAAACTCATTTCTACAGAACGGTTGGCTACGCACGGTGCGAAAGAAGTTCAACATGCGTAAAAAAATGTATACTTTTACGAGGTAAAGCCCGCTGAGCTATTAGCTATCTTTTTTTTTTGTCAAGAAGCGAACCTGGCCACCAATGATAGCTCAACGAAGTGGCTTATCACGTGGGAAGTTACAGCAAAAGCCAAATAATCCAGACGCGTCATGTTGATTCTAAACGTGGAGGGGGAAAAGCTGAGGACCCGTTACAAAATCCTCGCGACCACCACGATAAGAGTGAGAGACACGCAGACTCCACATATTCAGCAGACAAAGGTCCACCTCATAGCCTTAACAGACTGTTGGGGCAAGTGCTGGTAGCGAGCACCTATGAAGACCGGCCAAGCACACGAGGGGGGTGGGTGGCCAGCACTGCGCCCGGCCGCCTTTGTCTCCCCAGTGGCGTTGTTTACTACACACCGCCACCAGGTACTCATTTGAGGATGAGGCCCAGAATGGGTTCAGATAATCGTCACCGATGTTGGTGTCCGTGAGCGGGAATCGACCCTGGGACAGCGGATTCGTAGCGCTAACCGCTACACTGCCCGTACACACACGCACACTCATCTCTGTCCCTAACCCTATCCACAGTGTTTGTGTAGGACCGACACCTTTACAGAGCTGCAAGGGGTTCGAAAGAACTCACAACGAAACACCAGCTTGTTGTGAAAGACCCAGCGCAGAAGACCCCTGGGTTTTGATCTCGCACGAAGCTCACGGTCCACACCCTAAACCACGTCCCCTGCACAAGCTATGGCAGCGGCAGATTCGGATACCTGATGCACTAATGTAAAATTAAAAACTCTCCAGGAGCGTGCCACTGCGGTGATCCGGAGCAGGGACGGCAACAACTCAACGTCGCGGTCCACGATTACGACGTCGGAGACGTCATCGCAGCGACGCACTCCGCTACTGCTCCAGACACGATTGTCTCCTGGCTCGGCCAACCTCAACGTGACGTTGAGGTCCCCGGCGAGTGGCGTTCCAACGTCGGCAGCCGGACGACGTTGGAACGCCACTCACCGGCGACCTCAACGTGACGTTGAGGTCGCCGGTGAGTGGCGTTCCAACATCGGCAGCCGGACGGCGAGCAGAAGAAGACCGTGAGAATCCTCGGCGGCAGGGGACGAGAACTCATGCACGCGAGTCTCACGCGTGAACACATCCATCTCGGCGCCGCGGTGGCTAGGAGATGTTTACTGCCTCGCCTGGCATGCAGGGGGTCGTGGGGTTCGATGCCTCGCCTGACGCCTTGCTGCTGTGTATATTTTGGAGTCTGTCTGTGTGTGTGTGTTTCTCACTCACTCACTCCCCGTGGTCGCGTGGACTTTTCTCCGCTGAGCGATCGTTCGTGACGGCCGAGGTCGCTTCTGACAAAGTGCCGCGTAGCTCAGTGGGCCATACCTGCTCAATTGAAATAGAAATGCGTCGTTCATAGTTGAATTTCCATCGTTTCACAGAACTCTTTGAGTTACCCCCCCCCCCCCCCCCCCCACCACCACCACCACCATCATCTACATCACAGCTCGATGCTGAGTGGTCATCCCGTTTAACGATAACGAGCACGCGCGTACAATCGTCACCGCATGCGGCTCGCTCAATGTGTCTGTCACTTGACTTTGTAATCGTGCTATGATCCGAGTAAAACAACCCAAAAAGTACTCAGACCAGTGATCTTCTCTCGTTTTCAGGAGGGAAGGGAGGAGGGGGGGTGTTGCCACTTTCGCCGATAAGACATCGTCAGAGTGAGCGAGGAACGTCACAGCATTTGAAACCATTGGGGTGTTTGTGACAGCAGCACGACGATGATGATGATGATGATGATTGGGGGGGGGGGGTGTCTAGGCTGGTTGTGTGTTGTCGGTGGGGGCCACGAGTCGTCAGGGGCCGCGCTAAATCAGAATCAGAATCAGAAAGAGTTTTAGTCGCCATGAAAGTTTGCACAGACAAGGGATTTACTTTGGCAGGAAGGTGCATACATTCAACAAATAGTAATCTTAAATCTAAAATAAGTGGTATACAAGTCTAACTATACTAAAGGTACAAAGTCTAACTAACACCAAGGGGCTAAAGTATGTAAATTTTTGAATAAATATTGAATATAAAGTAGTTATAAGATACAATCTAAAAATACCAAAAATGCAAATAGGGTAACATAGTGTAAATATGGCAAGGTGTCATTATGTAGATAAAATGTTAAAATCAGTGTAAGCCCTTGGCCTTGTTTAACAGGCCAGCAGCAGATGAGAAGAAACTGTCTTTATGGCGTGAGGTTTTGGTCCTGATGGACCGCAGCCTTCTGCCGGAGGGGAGTAGCTGGAACAGAGAGTGTCCAGGGTGGGAGGAATCGGCCACAATCTTCCTCGCTCGCCTCATGGTCCTCTTGGTGTGCAGGTCCTCGAGGGTTGGTAGATTGCAGGCAATCACCTTCTCAGCAGTGTGGATGATACGCTGCAGTCTGCTCTTGTCCTTGGCAGTGGCAGCAGCGTACCAGACGGTTATGGAGGAGGTGAGGATGGATTCAATGATTGCTGTATAGAATTGCACCATCATTGTCTTTGGCAGGTTGAATTTCTTCAGCTGCCGTAGGAAGTACATCCTCTGCTGAGCTCTCTTGGTGAGGGAGCTGATGTTCAGTTCCCACTTGAGGTCCCGGGAGAGAATAGTGCCCAGGAAGCGGAAGGACTCCACAGTTTTGACTGGGGAGTCGCACAGGGTGATGGGGGTGAGTGGGGCTGTATTCTTCCTGAAGTCCACAACCATCTCAACTGTCTTTAGAGCATTTAGCTCTAAGTTGTTCTGGCTACACCAGGTCACCAGGTTGTCAGCTTCCCACCTATAGTCAAACTCATCCCCACCAGAGATCAGCCCAATGAGGGCGTTGTCGTCCGCAAACTTCAAGAGTTTGACGGACAGATGATTGGAGGTGCAGCTGTTGGTGTACAGGGAGAATAGCAGTGGGGAAAGGACGCAGCCCTGAGGAGTTCCGGTGCTGATGGACCTGGAGTCAGAGACTTGTGTTCCCAGCTTAACGCACTGCTTCCTGTCAGACAGGAAGTCTGTGATCCACCTGCAGGAGGAGTCGGGCACGTTCAGCTGGAAGAGCTTGTCCTGAAGCAGGACAGGGATGATGGTGTTGAAGGCAGAGCTGAAGTCCACAAAAAAAGATCCTGGCGTAGGATGCTGGGGAGTCCAGATGCTTTAGGGTGAAGTGGAGGGCCATGTTAACTGCGTCGTCCACAGACCTGTTGGCTCTGTAGGCAAACTGAAGGGGGTCCAGGAGAGGGTCTGTGATGGCTTTGAGGTGTGCCAGAACCAGGCACTCAAAATATTTTATTACCACAGAGGTAAGGGCGACCGGTATATAATCATTTAGTCCTGTTGGCCTTAGCTTTTTGGGCACAGGGATGATGGTGGAGGACTTGAGACAGGCTGGTACATGGCATGTCTCCTTAGGAAGGTGTTAAAGATGTTGGTGAACACCGGAGTCAGCTGGTCAGTGCAGTGCCTGAGGGTGGCTGGAGAGACAGAGTCCGGCCCAGCTGCTTTGCGTGGGTTCTGCCTCTTGAAAAGTATATTAAGTTCTCCCTCCTGAAAGGAGAGAGTCGTCTCTGTAGTAGGGGTGGGGGATGGGGCCTCTTGGGTGGGAAGGGGTAGTTCAGGACAGTCCAATTGTCTTTAAAATCTGCAGTAGAACTCGTTCAGGTCGTTGGCCAGGCGGGAGTCGTTAGAGGTGTGGGGGGCTCTGGGCTTGTAGTTGGTGATCTGCCTGAGCCCTCTCCAGACAGAAGCAGAGTCGTTAGCAGAGAACTGGTGTTTTAGTCTCTCTGAGTACAGTCGTTTAGCCTCTCTCACCGCCTTGCTAAACCTGTTCTTCGACTCCTTGAATCTGTCTCTATCCCCACTCCTAAACGCTTCCTCCTTCTCCAACCTCAACCTTCTGAGCTTTGCTGAGAACCAAGGCTTGTTGTTATTGAAGTTCACCCTGGTACGTGTTGGAATACAGCAGTCCTCACAGAAGCTGATGTAGGACGTCACAGCCTCTGTGAGCTCATCCAGACTATTGGTAGCAGTCGTGAACATTTCCCAATCAGTACAGTCCAAGCACGCCCGCAAATCCTCCACAGCCTCACTGGTCCACTGTTTAGATGTCCTCACAGCAGGTTTACAGAGCTTTAGTTTCTGCCTGTATGCAGGAATCAGGTGGACCATGGCATGGTCAGAGTGTCCTAGTGCTGCTCGGGGGACGGCGTGGTAGGCTCTACTGACTGTAGTGTAGCAGTGATCCAGAGTGTTCCCTTCTCTGGTAGGACATTTAATCAGTATTTGGGGAGTTCGTGTTAAAGTCGCCAAGTACGATAACCAGCGAATCTGGATTTGCTCGCTCCACACTCAGAATCTGGTCGGCGAGCATGCGTTGGGCCTCTTTAACCTGAGGACCCGGCGGCAAGTAAACTCCGACCAAAATGAGCGACGCGAACTCGCGAGGCGAGTAGAAAGGTTTACAGTTTATAAAAAATGATTCAAGGAGTGGAGAACAATGTTGCAGAATCACTGTGACATCTACACACCTAGCCACTCTTAATGTAAAAACAAATACCACCGCCTTTCGTCTTGCCGGAGAGTGCTATGTCACGATCCGATCTTACGAGATGGAATCCTGCCAGTTGTAGCGCAGTGTCCGGAATCAAATCACACAGCCATGTCTCCGTGAAGCACAAAACAGAAGATGAAAGAAAGTCTCTGTTTTTTACCATCAGTAGCTGAAGTTCATCCATTTTGTTGCACAGTGACCGTACGTTGGAGAGGAAAAAGCTTGGAAGCACTGTTCGGATCCCGTGTCTGCGTAGCCGTACGA